AGGCTTTTTTTTTTTTTTCCAAAAAAAAAAAAAAAAGTGATTTTTCCCCCTCTCTCATACAATGACTAATCCAAAGTCTAAGGGGGGGTGGGGGTGGGGGTGGGCGTTTACAGACAGTGGCAAAATGTTAAACCTTTTTTTCCCCTAGCAGTGAGATTTTAGCTGACACCTTTGAAATTGTAACCAGTTGAGTCCCTTCTTCTATTTTTAATGTTCTCTAATGATGAGACATTTCAAACAGGAAAGAGGCAAATAATAATAATTTACAAATTTCTCAAAGTATGACCCCAGTTTTCTTTACCTGGGCTCAAAAAGATGGGTATTTCCTCACTGAGAATCAAAATTACAGTGGCATTCTCAACCAAACCTGGTATGTTTCTCTCTGGAACAGGAAAGGGCAGGAATTCGTCTGTCTCAAAGATACCTTGGGGAGAAAACACCTGAAGTCTTTACTATTTCTATGCAAATTCTAGCTAAGTTATCTCCCCTCATATTAATGCTCGCTAAAGAAAATTGGGAGTGGGGTGAAGCTTACAGCAATGTAAAATTCTTACAGAGATTCTCATATATATTTTGCAGTAGGAGAGAAATTCCTTAGGTACCCTTAAGGGTTTTCCTCACCTCCGCTTTCATGCAAGTTCTAAATCCTTAAGTCCATGGATAACCAGAGGTGAAGTGTAGCCTGTATGAACTGTCCAGACTCCTTTCAAAAGGAATCCAGCATCCCCCTCCAGCATTCTTGTTTAAAGTGCAGTAACAAAAACGGAAATCCTAACTTGGAAAATACCTGGGACCCAGAGCAACCCCGGCCCTTCAGAAGTGAACTGGAAAAGCTCAACTATAAACAAATGAAATGTTTATATTAATTTCATTATTCTGCCCCAGCCTCACAGATGAGAGCTGGGGGAGGAAGAGGAAGACCTAAGTTTCAGTTTGGGTCTTCTGGTGTGGCAAAAAGAAAATGAATTAAGACGGACGCACAGAATGAACCCAGACTAAATCAATACACTTTGCTATCGGCCCAGCAAGGGTATTTGGGCACAATGACTTGGAAATAATTAATCGTTATAAGTAGGGAGTGGGGTGAGAAGGGGGATGAGGGATGTCACCATATTTTAACAGAGCACTTTATGCTATAACGCTAAACTTGGATCTCCAGATTTCGGATTTAAGAAAGAAAGGAAAAAAGGGTAAAGAAAGTCCAGTATTTCGAAGCACCTACCGGCTTGAGGATGGGTACATTCCTCGCTCCCAGCGCCTTATCGCTGCGCTCGCGCCGCCCAGGCTGGCTGTTTAGGTACAGAGACCCCGTGCAGCCCAGGGCTCTCCGGTGTCCCCTGCCCCCTTACCCCCGCCCGCGGCCGCCTCGACTTACCGGAGGAGTCCGGGGAGGGAGTGGGAGCGCCGCCTTCACGCCTGCGGAGGAGGCGCCGGCAGCACCATGGTCCCCGGCGCCGCTGCTGCTGCCCCTCGCCCGCTCGCTCGCCGCGCGCTCTCTTCCGCTCGCAAACTTTCGGGTTCTGCGGTCGACAAGAAACCGGAGCGACCCTCAGCAAGTCTTCCCCGAGCGGGTTGGGGAAAATTGCAGGGAATGGGACGGGTGAGTAGGCGGAGGGGCCAGGACAGAGAGGGCAGCGGGCTTGGAGGCCCGGCGAGTGCGCGTGGAGGCAAGAGGGATGCGGCTCAGGGAATCCCGGCAGGGATCCGGAGACCAGGGATCGGCCGAGCCAAAGTCTCAGCACCTTCCCTGGGATCTTACAAAGTTGCAACAACAAAAAAGGAGGGGGAGGAACGGGGGAAGGGGGTGGGATAGGGATCCGATCGCGGGCGCAAGGTTTGGAGTTACAACTGTTTATTTAGTAGTTATTCTC